AGTGGAGAAGGCGCTCAACGATGCCAAGATGGACAAGCAGCAGATCCACGATATTGTGCTCGTCGGTGGCTCGACACGCATTCCCAAGGTGCAGAGCCTGCTTCAGCAGTTCTTCGGCGGCAAGAGCCTCAACCTTTCCATCAATCCCGACGAGGCGGTGGCCTATGGCGCCGCAGTCCAAGCAGCCATACTTAGCGGCGACCAGAGCGGCAAGATCCAGGACGTGCTCCTGGTGGACGTTGCGCCCCTTTCGTTGGGCATCGAGACTGCCGGCGGCGTCATGACCAAGCTGATTGAACGCAACTCCCGGATCCCGTGCAAGCAGACGAAGACCTTCTCAACGTACTCTGACAACCAGCCGGGCGTCTCCATTCAGGTGTACGAGGGCGAGCGCGCCCTCACGCAGCACAACAATTCGCTGGGCACGTTCGATTTGTCTGGCATACCGCCGGCACCGCGTGGCGTGCCCCAAATCGAGGTCACCTTCGACATGGACGCCAATGGTATCCTGAACGTGACGGCCAAGGAGATGAGCACCGGCAAGGCCAAGAACATTACCATCAAGAACGACAAGGGCCGCCTCTCGCAGGCAGAGATCGACCGCATGGTGAACGAGGCCGAGCGCTACGCGGACGAGGATGAGAAGCACCGAGAGCGCATCACGGCTCGCAACAGCCTCGAGAGCTACGTCTTCGGCGTCAAGCAGGCCGTGGAGCAGGCCAGTCCTGACAAGCTGAGTGACAGCGATAAGTCCTCCGTGCTGGACAAGTGCAGCGAGACCGTCAAGTGGCTCGACGCCAACACCACAGCCGACAAGGAGGAGTTCGAGTACAAACTAAAAGAGCTCACCCAGCACTGCTCTCCCATCATGACCAAGCTCCACCAGCAGGGACAGCCTCAAGGAAACGCCAACTGTGGTCAGCAGGCGGGCGGCTTTGGTGGTGCCGGTGGCTACCAAGGACCCACCGTGGAGGAAGTCGATTAAATTGCATTCCCCAGCATTCTAGTATTTAGTTGAAGCTTTATGTTCCTCCGACTGATCAAGGTTTTTGGTTGAGATATCTCATTTTATGCCAAACACTCACTAGTTAAGAGAATTAATTGTTAAACTATTCCTAAGTTAGCAACAAATTATAGAATAAAACATTAATTTATTATTTTCAAAAGAAGAAACTCAATTGTCTTTGAATTTCCTTTGCTTGGAAAGGGTTCAATATGTAATTTTCGCTCAGATTTTCTTTGTATTTAAAAGTGAATGAAAAGCTCGAGCCGGAAAGGTCATTCGCATGGAAATGGCTGGAATTTGGGCGTAGCCGCTGGGGAATATTTAAATAGGTAGAAGTTGTTAATTTTTAATGTTAATTGTTTAGTTATCAATGTACAATTATAATAACTAGAGAACATACAAATTTGGCGTATTAAGAAAACCAAACAAATTTTATGAAATCGCGACAAGACCTAACTCTTTATCTTGATGAAGATATATACAAAAATATTTATATATGTGTGTATTTTATGGGGTCGGAGATATTTCTTTCTCTCTTAGCCCATTTTCAATAAGTTTCGACTATTTTCTAGAAACTTCTTTACTTTGAGTTGTCATGGCGATGTATTCAAATTGTGTTTATTCGATTCACAATGAATTTAAATCAAATTAAAGCGCGCGCGCTGCTGTTTAGAAACAATCGATAACAAATGCCAAACAAGTTGGCAACGCCAACTGCGTTAATATTAAGTTGTGCCGGCCGGCATAAAATTGAAATCAATTCTGCCTTGCTTTCCTTACGTGCCGTATTAAAAGCTGTGGATTTTAACAAAAGTAAATTCAGCGCAGCGAGAGCAACGTTTTTAAATTTACAATACAAAAAACAATAAAATTTTCACCAGCTTTTTCTCAGCCGATATCAGTGTATATGTCAGTGTGTGTGTCTCTGTCAGTGTGTGTGTGTGTGCCTATCGATAGACCGTGCCCCGACGCTGCGACGAAGAAGGTACAGATAGTGAGTAGCAAAAAGACGCCGTAGCCGTTTTTCATTTTCGGAGGGATTTTCTAAGCGTGCCTGCCATTTGCAATAAGTAATTAAATGTGTGAAAAAAAATGCAGAATTTATGCGAATTGTGAACAAAATAATACACGTGCCAAGAAACGTTGAATCCGCGGTAATAAATATATTTTGCAACCCGAAATAAATATTTTTTTTTTTGTATTTTGACGCAGCGCAAATCGCAAGTTGAGCACACAAAAATAAGAAGGCAAGCGCAAAAGGAAACACCGAAACGGCGAATACGAAGTACGCACAAATTATTTGAGGCAAGAATTGTGTGTGCATCCAGATCTGAAGCCGACGACGCAGCTTTCTGAAAAAGCGCGCGCATAGAATAAAAAAATTAACGAAAAAATGGAGGATACTGCGGTGGCCAAAAAGCGCGGACGCCCATCAAAGTTGGCGACGGGCGCTGCAGCTGCAGCGCCGGGCAGTCCCGGCGATAGCAACATTCCAACAATACCCAAAAAGCGCGGTCGTCCGCCCAAGGTCAAGGGTAGTGGGCGTGGCAGGCCGCCAAAGTCCGCAGCCGCTGCGCAAAACAGCGATAACGAGGATCTCGACCAGGATGAGCTGGGCGAGGCCAACGGCGATCTGGCCATGCCGTCATTAAAGGTCAAGGCACGCGGTCGTCCGCGCAAAAGTGGCCCACCTGTACAAGTGCAGGAGAACAGCGGCAACGATGACGACGACATGGATTCCTCGACCGATGAGAAGCCGCCGGTGAAGCACCAAAAGTCGCCATCTTCGGCCTCCAAGCGCCGCAAGCTGGGACGACCCCAAAAGCATAAGCCCAGTGAAGATGAAGATGGTCAGTGTGGCTAGTACAGTTTGCACTGGATGTGATGAACTGCATATTTCTATATATAAATTACCTTTGTACTCTCACACAGAATTCGATGATGACGATGAGGAGCCACGTCCAGTGGGTCGTCCATCCACTGGAGCCGTCAACTTGAACATTGTGCGCACCGGACGCGGTCCTGGACGCCCCAAGAAGAATGCATCGGCTGGTAGCGGAAAGCGTTCCGCGTCGGCCGCTGCCGCCGAATCAAATAGCGATGATGCACCCACTGTGCCCAAGAAACGTGGACGCCCGCCACTGTCGAACAAGCCGGCCGCGTATGTGCCATCTGGTAGACCACGTGGACGCCCAAAGGCCCAAGCCGCACTCGTCAAGTCCGCTGCCGATGACGATGATGACCAGTCACAGCAGCCGGACGATGATTCCGATGAGGATGATGTGGAACCTGTTGATGCCGAGGAATCGACGGCAGTGGCTGCAGCTACGACCACGCCAAAGAAACGCGGACGTCCCTCATTGGCGGGTAATCAGAGCTCATCGGGCAAGCCGCGCGGTCGGCCCAAGTTCAAGAAGTCGCCCACCAATCAGGCGGATGACGATGGCGACGATCAGGATTCAACTGGCGATGTGGCTGGTGACGAGTCCAACGGGAATGTTCCCAAAAAGCATGGACGAACTATATCGGGCAAACGCGGACGCCCAAAGTCAGCCAAAACAACGGATTTGAATGGCGACGACAGTCTAAGTGGCGATGCTGACGACGACAATGACGGAGCCAATGACGACGGCGGCGATGATGAATCCGATGAGCCAGCGAAGCAGCAGACGGGCATCAAGGATTCAAAATCGGAACGCAAGGAATCCGATTCGCCAGAGAATGGCGATGGAGATACCGCCAACGATAATGATGGATCCGTTGAGTGCATCTCCGATGAGCCATCCTGGGCTGGCGCCTAATTTTAGTAGTATTTAAGCAACAACACATTTAATTGGACATAAAAACAAAGCAAATAGCAAGAGGAAACCCTAAGAACAGACAACCTTGTACCCATTAACCACATCTGGAGTACTCTAGGAGGTAGTTATTCGATCAAGATCAATCAATTTTCCCAAAAATGAAAAAAAAATCAAACAAATCACATTTTGTCATGTTTTTTTATGTTAAATTCACCCCCCCCCCCCCCCTCAGTCCCTCGCACCCTCAAACTTATATATAATTCCAAAAAAAGAAAATATTTCATCTTATTCCATTACTATATAAAATTGATTTCAAATTTTGTTTCATTTTGGCTTAAATACATAATAGAAATACATTAAATATAATTGTAGTGGCTTGTGGAAACACAAGTGGAAATAATTCATTTTATTCAATATATAAAAATAAAGAAATAGATGATAAACACAACGTTTTTCTAAGAGCCCGCTTGCCAATTATTTAAATAGTACCGCGCTTTGCATTAACAGTCGTGGCATATGTCGATTATTGGTTAACATAAATAGTCGATAGATTGGCATTGCTGTTAAATTTGCCCACAAAAATAAAACAGCTGGAGGTTGCAGGAAAGCCGCAAATAAGAATCTATCGCATTCGCATTCTATCGATACAGACTGTCTATCGACTGCAAATTTGTAGTCAGTGTAAATCGTTTGTAAGAACAGCGTGTTTGTAATACATACATCTGTAAATTTTTCAAATAAGCTAAGGTGAATAATATTTAATACCTACGTGAGGCACACATATCTAATATAATATTAATTAAGTTACTTAAGCACCGTGTGTTAAAGTTGTACGCGTGCAAAACGCAAAACATTCTGGCTGACTCTGCGTGCGGCTTCCCATATTCGGTTTTGCGTTAATTTGCAAACAAGCCAAATAAAAAAAAAGCACCAAACAGCTAACATAGGATAATCAAAGAGTTTTCAAAATGCATGCACACATTTCCGCATAATGTTTGTTTTGTTTTAATGCGCGAGCAGCAGAAAAAATGCCGCAGAATTGATAAAAAAAATGCCGCTAACAAAAACAAAACAAATACACAGGCAAACGGCGGCTGCAGCATTTTGTGTATGAGTGTGTTAACGCGTGTGTGTGTGTGTGTGTGTATTTGCATCTAATCAAATTTTATACGCGCTCCAAATCGATTAAAATGTTTGTTTTATGTAAACATGCTTTAATGAATCTATTAAAATGGTCCAGGCACAGCAAATGTAATTAATTTACAAATAGGCTCGTGTGCACGCAAATGCGTATGTGTGTGTGTGTGTGTGTGTGTGTGTGTGATGTGTGCGTGTTTGACTTGCGTTTTTTTTGCGAGTTACGCATCTATTGAATAACTTCGACAGTTGATGCTTGAAAAAGTTTTTCATTTGAACTACATGTGCCAATTTTTATTGATAAATTTAGCTAAATGTAATTTCGCAAATTTACTAAATTGTGGCAACCCTGCAGGCATTGTGCACTTGTACTCGAGCAGCTGTTCAATTGCTCTTGTTGTTGCTACCTCGTCTCTGTTTATCGGGATGCGTGCGGCAGCGCGCGCTTAAACAATTTAAATCATTTGACGAAAAATATATAGTGCGTGCATGCAGTCCGGCCTATCGGTATCTTAAGTTGTCGGTCGCTCATATAGAAAAAATGTAAAGCAGCAATGTTTTTTTATGTTTAATATATCAACAGTATTGCAGCTGCAGTCTCTGTTAAGCTGCTAATATTCTTGTTAATAGAATTTGTTTTGCCATTTTCAACATTGACAAAATTTGGTCACACTTTTTTGCGGCACATGCTCTCTCTGCCGCGTTCTCTCTTTATGTCTGTCGCTCTGAGCGCAATCTCCTGCTGGTTTTGTGTGTTTTCGACGCTGGCGCTGTGTCTTTGCATTCGCATTCGCTTTATTATCGTTCTCGCGACGACGACGTCGAAGAATTCTTAGCCGTATTCTTCTTCATCCTGTGTAAATAATTGTAATTTAAATAATTTAAATTAAACACAAAAACCACGCAAAACTAATAAGATAAGCAAGCTGAGGGCATTTCGCGCGTGTTTACCAAGTCATTAAGTGCATGTGTAAGTGCCGAAAAAAAAAAGAAAACTATACTATATAGAAATATTCAATTCTATACATATTCAATTTTTCGTTTCGAGACATTTTTGCTCGCCTGCCTCTTTTTTACATTGTCATCGTCGTTTCCTTCTTGCTGCGACTGCGGCGGCGGCTGCAAAAATTTGTTATATATACAAACACATGTGTATATATACGTGTGTGTGTGTGTGTGTGTGTCTTATATACATATGTAAATCCAGACGAGCATCGGCTGCACAAACACACTCATATTTAGACGCACACGGCCGATTTATACATATGTACACACATATATGTACATATAAACATGTATAAATAGTCGCAAAAACTCAAAAAAGAAATAATTGTAAGTTCTGAGCGAACACGCTAGTCGCGTGCGTCGCTGCTTAAAATAAAAGGTAAAAATCAATTAAATGCTTCCTTTTATGCGTGTGTTTCCCTTTGGTTTTGCACTACATTTTTTTAAAACTGCCTGTAAAAAAAAATTATTTTTCCGATTGGTTCGCAAAATGCCCAGAACCTTCTTGTTTGTGTGCGTGCGTGCGTCCGTGTGTGTGAGTGAGTTTGTCGTCGTCGTCTGTCCGTTCGTCCATTATCCGCCCGTGCCTTGTTTCATTTTCTTCCTTGTCAGCGGCAGCCATTTGCTTCTTCTTTACATTTGCACGGCAGTGTTTAAAATATTTTATTTCGCTTACGCTCTTGTACTGCACGTTGCGCTCTTGCTCTCTCGCCGTGTCCCCTGCATTTGTATACAATAATTTTCCCAATAAGAGCGCCGCTGTCGCCGCCGACGCATAAATAAACAAATTGACTACGAAATTTTGTTAAGTACGTATTTAAATGAATTAAACAACTTTGTTTTTCATTTGTTGTACATTCTTACGTATTTAATAAATATTCACGGCTGCGCTTGCCACACCCCCCTTATAGTTGCTTTGCGCATCGTTCGCTTCGGGCTCCTTTTTATGCTGTTTGTTCTCGTGCTTTTGTTTTTCACATGTCTCTTTTTGGCGTTTATCTTTATGTTTGTTTTTGTATCGACTGCTCGCGCGCGTGTGTGTGTGTGTGTGTGTGTGTGTGTGAGTGAGGCCCCCGCTGGGCGCTGCGGTTTCGCACGCTGCACTTGTCTTTTGCCTTTGCTCTGGGTGCTCTCTTTGGCTGTTGGTGGGAGGGGAATAGGGTGTGGGCAAACTGTCGCTGGATTTGCCTGCTCGCGCGCATATAAACAACAGAGAAACAGACGACGGACGGGCCGATTGCTTACATATTTTGTAACTTAACCTCAAAACGTTGCGGCCGCTGTTGCCGGCTGCCGTTCACTTCGCCTTCGTTCCGTTCCGTTGTTGTTGTTCTTCTTCTTCTTCGTCGTCTTCTTCTTGTTGCTGTGTGTATATGTTAATTTATATGTTTTTCCTTTAGCCTGCCCCCTTCGGCTGCTGTCGTTTTCTTTTTCGTACTTTTCGCAGCGCATGATTCAGCGTCGCCGCCGCGTTGTTCTTTGCAATTGCTGCCGATATTCGGCTTTAGCTTCGACTATTGCTCCTGTTTCTCTCTTCTTCGTCTTGCACGTTTTCTGCTTTGTTATTGTTTTCGTAACGCGGCAGAGGCTCATTTAAAATTTTGAAGCTTTTGTTAAACATATTCTTGAGCTGGTTATCTGTCTGCCCCGTCCCTTACGTTATCTTGGTTTCTCTACCATGACCAGCTCAAAGTAGGCACAGTGGTTCTTATCTAATTGAAAATGTATTGAATTGAATATATCGATAAAATGCTTAATTATCGATGCCTAATGGAATTTTTTAACATGCTTTATTATAAAATATGTAATAATACTCTTTTATGTACTTTCTCTTTGCAGTTTGTGTATATTTTCATCATTAAAACGCCGTGTAAATTAAAATCATCCTAATTATAATTCAAATTCAAACAACCCCAACAACAACAACTTCAAACATAAAATCAACAACAAAAAATTTCAATCGATCTGTAAAAAATAATATATATGAAATTTGTAATTTTTTAACCAGTTCTCATACGTATATATTGAATGCATTACAAAGAAAAAAGTTAATTTGTTTGGTACCACTGTGTAAAGTATTATTCATAATTTGTGTTAAATAGTGTACATTTTTGTAAAAAAAAAAAAAACCAAACCAAACCAAACGTGCAAGTTTTTTTTCGAGTGTAAACAAATACAAACGATAAATGTAATTAAATATCTCAAATCACTGTAAATTAATATTTAATATTAAGAAAGAGCAAAGTGTGGTTTTCTATGCATGTATAAAACAACAACAACAACAACAACAACGACGAGAAAACAAAAAAAAAAAACAAACAAAAAACACGAGAAATTGAATTAACGGTACCCCCTTAATGTGTCATTTGCATAGCTCTCGCCCCACTGTGCACGCGACGTGTTTGCAATTTTTTTAAATTGTAGCCGCAACGAAACGTCGTCCAGTTGCTTTTAAACTGTTGTTCTCGTTCCGTCAAATTTTTTGTACGTTTTTGTTTTTTTTTTTTTTTTAAATTTTATTTGGTTTTTGTTTGTTTTTGCAATACGCGACAAGTCGTCAGCTGAGCGTGCAGCAAACAGCCGCCAAAATTGAGCTGTTAAGCGCGCCCACAATTTCGATATCGACGGTAGTGCCCACCACGTCGCCATCGCCGCAGCATCATCTCCAGCCGCAGCCGCAGCAGCAGCAGCAGGGGCCGTATCATCAACAGCAGCAGCAGCAGCAGCAGCAGCATTACGGGCAGCCCCAACTGCCGCCGCTGCCCTCACCATACTTTCAGCATCTGCAACAACAACAGCAACAGCAGCAGCAACAGCAGCAACAACAACAGTTACAACACATGAAGTTTCTGGGCGGCAATGATGATCGCAACGGACGCGGCGGCGTCGGCGTTGGCAGCGACGCAATCGTCGTAGGCGGCACACGCGGCTCCAATTCGCAGGACGTGGACGCAGCGAGCGCTGCGGCAGCCGCTGCTGCCGTTGGCTTCGTTTTTCAACAGCGCCCCTCGCCCGGTGGAGGCGCTGGCGTCGGCGTCGGACCCGTTGGCTCCACCTTGCAAGACGCCGCAGCCGCCGAATATGCGGCGCACTTTGCCCAAAAGCAGCAACAGACGCGATGGGCATGCGGCGACGAGCACGGCATCGATGTGAGTATATAAACAGAAAGAACTATTTATCTATGTATGTACATATGTGTACACATATATATGTATATAAGCATGTATAGTCATGTACAAACATGTTAGATTTGGCTCGGCGCCAAAGCAAAAGCAAAGCCATAGGACAGTTGCATGGAGTAGGGTGGGGTCGGATTAGGGCGGAGGGGTAGGTTTTGCTCTCTGGCATTATTTGTTGTTGAGCTTCTTGTTTTGGTCACTTAGATGTCTCCATTATGTATATAATACATATGCAAATAGATTTGAGCCGCCTCTGGAGCAGCTGATCGCCAGTGTTGCATAGTCTTGTCAAAAAGTTATCGATTAATTTGCGCAAACAGAGAGTCTCAGCCGTTATTCACACTATTCTCAAAGCTAGAAGGTGTTTCTTTAGTAGTTTAGTAGTTTCAGATATAAAACTGGCAGATATGTAAAAAAAAAGATTATTTGTTAATCGCAATTAAACATTTTATAGCCTGATTTTACTATGCTCCAAATAAGTTACATTCACAACATTCTGCGATAGTTGTTGTCAAAAATACCGCTTCTTTAAATAAACAGCTCAACGGATTGATTTGATTTACATATTAAATCATCGAATTGTCAAATAGGGGCTGTATTTAATGGACTCTTTGCTGGATTTGGTCATCTTTAAATGTTAAAAACTGTGTATCCCACAGTTAAAATTTTAAAATTTTGTGGAAAAACGTTCAGACAACAAATTTGTAATTCGCAGTAGAATTATGCTATTAGAATATAAAACTTTCAGAAAGTCCAACAAATAAGTTAACTGAAATTCTTAAATGTGAAATATATCATAAAAAGATAATATTGTCTCCGTTAAAAATGAGCATACGTTTGAACACTTCAAAACTGAAAAGAAAATGAATTGAGTTCCATGTTCCCTTTAACGAGATTTAAGGGCCGATAAACTAAATTTGATTTGTTTACTTTTGTTTTAAGCTCTTGCAACAATTTTGTTTTCATTTAAAACATTCTCGCACAAATACTTTTAAACGCGCAACGGTTCCAACATTTTTCAGAATTTTTAAATCAGAATTTCATATATATATTTCTTTGTTTTTTTTTTTTTAAAAGCAGTTTAAAGAATTTTTTGCTGTGTGCCCATTCTTCATCGCATTCTTTTCTGCAGCAGCTTCCGCTGCCTGGAGCCTCTGTTTTTTTTAGATTTTGCTGCTTTCCTTGCAGCCTCTTTTGCTGAATATACCCTGTAGCCAAGGTTGTGCAGTGGGTGTATATGTTGATGCGTAACATTAAAGTGGCTTATGTGTAGAATTATAGTTGATATTTGCTTTTGGGGGCAGAGTTTGCAAAAATTGACAACCGAAATTCGAGTAAATTATTCAGGAAAAGTTCGTCACGCTAACTTTAAAACAGAACTATTATTTTAGTTGGTAGAAACAAATATTTTATTGAAGAAATTGTAGAAATTTGTGATCATTCGGATGCCAAATTTAAAGCTAAATCAGGCAAGAATATAATCAAAAGTAGCTAAAAAAGAGCTCAAGTAAAGTTAAATTTTTGCATAGTCTCTATTTTTATCCTATTGAAGTTATATTTTCGACGTATCGTATAGGGTAACTACAAGTCGCGATTGCCTCTTTTTGCTACCACTTTGACTTCCGTTGTGATACTTTTTCCATGGCAAATGCCAAATAAATGTAAGAGAAGTACGAGCTGTGAATTTGTTGCTCTGTCTGGAGGTTATTCAGTTTTATTAAGGCCAACTTGTGACGATGGTCGGTCTTGGGAGGGGGGGGCTTTGGGTTTGGGTGTTCATGGGGAGCTCACTTCCAGGCGCTGCCAAAAGGTTGCATAAACAGCAACCAACTTGGCAGCGTGCAAGCGACATTTTGTTCTATTTTTAGTCATTTCAAGGATAAACGGACTACATATTTTTATATATATATATATGTATCTTTATGTCACTTTCAGAATCCGGATAAATGGAAATACAATCCACCCATGAATCCGGCGAATGCCGCGCCCGGCGGCAACAACGGCGGCCCAGGAGCCATAGGCACCATTGGCATGGGTGCAGGCAGCGGGCTGGGCGGCATGGGCGCCGGCAGCGGCACCAACGGCGGGGGATTGCATCATCCATCGATGGCGGCCGCAGCGGCCAATATGGCTGCCATGCAACAGGCGGCCGCCGTGGCCAAGCACAATCACATGATGTCGCAGGCGGCCGCCGCAGTTGCAGCCCAACAGCAACAACAACAACAGCAACAACAGCAGCAACAACAACAAAATGCGCAGGGACCGCCGCATCATCTTATGGGCGGCGGCAATGGGCTGGGCAATGGCAATGGACTAGGCGGTCTGGGTCAGCCGCATCCCGGCCAGCAGCTACAACAACAACAACAGCAGCAGCAGCAACAGCAGCAGCAACAACAACAACAGCAGCAGCAGCAGCAACAGCAACAACAACAACAACAGGGCCAACAACCCGGCCAGGCACATCTCGGTCAGCATCAATACAATTCGAATCTGCTCAGCCATGTGATGAACAACCAGGTGGCCGCTGCCGTTGCCGCTGGCGCCACCATGGGCCATATGCCGCCCTACGCCCAGTCGGCTGCTAGCGGCAGCATGTACGATCATCATGGCGGTAGCGCACTGCATCCGGGCATGAATGGCGGCATGCCGAAGCCGCCGCCACCGCCGCTGGGTCCGCCCGGTGGTCCACAGGATTTCGTCTATATGGGCGGGCAGCCGCATGCCGCTGCCGCTGCTGCCGCCGCTGCGGCCATGGGCGCAGCTCTGATGCCGCCGCAGAATCAGTATATGAACAACTCGGCGGCAGCAGCCGTCGCCGCCGCCAATCGGAATGCAGCGGTGAGTAGACGAATCGGGCGAATATACATACATATGTTTATATATATATATATATATATATATATATATATATATATATATATTTAAAAGAGTCTGGACGATCAGCTTTCCGTAGGAAAAAGCTTTGAGCTTCGACTATGTGAAAATGTTGGTCAATGTTTTTATGAAAATAAGTCAGCAAATGTGACGTCATAAGCCTGTGTGGCTTAGTTGCTTAAGCGTCGCACCCTGGAGGGTGAGTACGCTGGTTCAAACTGTCAAAGTTAAAAGCATCGCAAAGAAGGCTTTGACTCGGTTGACGCCGTATAATTTCTTGTTTATATACACATCCATGTTAACTAACAAGCGCTTAGATAAGCTTCCAATTGGAGCTAATCAATTTGATTTGTTTTCCCACTTCTGTTGATATCATCAATTTTGATTGATGATGATTAAAATGTGCTAGGTCTAGCATTTGGGTCAATTGTGTGTGAAATATTTAACTACTATGAATATGAAACATAGGCACAGATAATACAAAACGTGTTTCGAATTTGAAGCCATATGAACCGGTTCGAATTTTCAAGTTCATGATGTTTCTTTTAGCCTGACAGCTAGACCTAGCCTAACTTTAGCCAAACCATATTTATCAAATTGTGGGACTAAAGAACACTGTAAAATAAATATTATTTTAATCAAATCCAATTCCTGTTGATAGTCCCTGTGATAAGTCCTCAATATTCAGTTTTTTTTAGCGTTAAGTATATTTTTCTGTTCGATGTGCATATTAGATAATATTTGTTATCGCACAACGAGCTGGTTCTCTATAAATGTCATTCTCTGGTTTTTGTTGACATTGGGGGCAGCCGGCCACAAATAAAGCTCTAGACTGTTTTAACCCTGCCCTCACTATTCAATAAAACTGTTAGTTCTGACCGACTGAGTGATGATTGACTGATTGATTGACTGATTGTCTTACCGACTGGTTGACTGATGGATTGAATGACTGACTGTTTGATTGACTGACCGACTGACTGACTAACTGACTGATTGACTGACTGACTTACTGACTGACGGACTGACCAACTAACTGATTGATTAACTGACTGACTGATTGACTGACCGACTGTGTGACTAATTGACTGATTGTCTGACCGACTGACTGTTTAAAACTGATTGTTCTGACCGACTAAGTGATTGACTGGCTAACTGTCTGATTGACTAACTGACTGATTGATTGACTGACCGACTGACTGTCTGACTGATTGACTGACTGTCTGACTGAGAATTTTTTGGGCTAAGTTTTAAATTTTGCCCGAGTTTGGCAAAGGTTAATTATAAACGAAAGTCTTACTAACATGAGCGGAATGCATTGATTCAAACACTTGCTATATATATATTTTTTTTAATAGAATTGTAGATCAAGATGGGTAAATTTCATCCTTCAACGGGCGCGTAAAGGTAATATCTAAAATATGTAGCTCAAAACGTTCCACGGGCAAGGCCGGGTAATGTTCGCAAGGTTATATATATTATGTGATATAATATTATCCCACCTGGAATCTGAACACTAAACGCAGCCAACGGCTAAACCTAAACTTCAAGCCTTAACAAAAGTATCTTACGGACAATTCAATATTTGGACTTCAAAGTTTTTTCACCGCTTCTTTTTCTGTAGCCAAGTTTTTCACCAACTTCTCTTTTTGCCTGCGGAGAAAAAGATTTCCACAGTTTACTTTTATGTTAGTTGCACTTTTAGTTTTGGCCATTTCGGGCTCGTATCGTAAAATTTGTTCATGAGTGTTTGGTTAATCAATAATTTCGTTGGCTTTTATGGTTAGTTGTATACAGTCCCCCTCCGCCGTCCCCCGAAAGAAAAGCCCACCCCAAAAATGTTGTAGCCGTAAATTGCAAAGTTTTTCGTTTTTCTCCTACATGTTTTTCATTTCTGAATTTGTGTTTGTTTCTTCGTTTTCGGCCCTTTCAAGTTTTGCCTCATAGACATATCATAAAATTGATGATTGTTATTGCTCGGTTTTTCTATTTTCCTTATATTTTCCATTTTTTCGCCCATGTGTGAAATACCTTTTTCGTTGTGTACGTGCCGAATGAATTGTTTTTCACATACACGAATTTATTGTCGGGCTAGACGCAGGATGGGCCAGAAAGAATGTCTTAAGGATTATTGTGCAATACTTGTTAACGGTTTTGCTTAGGGGCAGTTAGCAGGAGAGTGTTAGCCTCTTTTTAGGGGGAGTTGGAGACAATTTCGCATATAAGCTCGGATATTATTAGCTTTTGTTAGGGGCTTTAACTTGATAAGATTTATTAAGAAGCCTTTTATTAAATGTGGATAAAATACTTATTTGCTTGTTTTTTTTTTTTTGAGGTAATGGAAATCCTGAAAAGTCCTTCAAATAAACACATAAAATGAGTCGGTTCTGCGAATTTATCGCTTAATATTTACAGCTATAAATTATATCAAGCTATCAATGTTGCTTGACCAAACTCATCGTTTATTGCTTTTGATATGTTTCCCATTTATAAGTATACGGAAAATCCTATTAACATCGGACCACTATATTCTTATATATAGCTCCCATAGGAGCGATCGATGGAAAATTAAGTTGTTCTATCAAAAACTCGGCACTTATAAGTTTTCAGATGCTCCCTACAAATATACAAAATCGTATCCACATTGGAATGTTATATCATATAGCTACCATAGGAACGATCGGTCGAAAGTGAGGTTTATGTATAAAAAACCCATTAAAGATAGGTATAAGGGTATATTGTATTTGTGCAAAATCCAAATGTATGTAACAGACAGAATGAAGCATCTCCGACCCCATAAAGTATATATATTCTTGATCAGCATCAATAGCCGAGCCATGTCCGTCTGTCTGTCTGTCCGTCCGTATGTATGAGCGCAAGGATCTCAGAACCTATAAGAAAATGAAATTTTAGATGTAGGTGCTCCTAGTGCCTGCGCAGATAGAGTTTGTTTATGATAATCGATAACTTACTCCGTTTCCAAGCAATCGATAAAAATCGATATCGACATCCTGTTTTGTTGGCAATCTTGGTAAATAATAATAGCTAGAGTCACCAAACTTGACATATATGTAGCTTCTAAAATAGAATATGTATATGCAAGAAGAGGGTTCAGCGTATCCCCTAGTCGGGAGCGCCCGACTAGAACCTCTTGTTATACCCTGAATCCATTAAAAATGGGTAAACAGGGTATATTGTATTTGTGTAAAATATAAATGTATGTAACAGGAAGAAGCACTCCAACCCCATATTGGTCAATTTTGGTAATTAATAAGAGCTAGAGTCACCAAACTTGACATAAAGCTTCTAAAATAGAATATATATACATATGCTGACTAGAACCTCTTACTTGTTTTTTTGGTTAATCAAAAGCTTGTCGATTATTTTTATTCTGAAAATTTCTAAAAATAGAAGTAGAAAAGGGGGCGGGTCTGTCATTTAATCGCTCCCTACTTCTACCTATAAATTATTTGAATAGTTTTTATAGAATAATCTATTCTTTAGTTTTTGGCAATTTAGTAGCCATAGATTTGATTCGTAAGATGGGTTCTTGATCAACAATTTTCATTTTTGGCATAACATAAATTCTGGCTTCAAGATTTTCTTGCTGCATTCCATTTGCCTTTCTAAATTGTTCTTTTAATAAGCCTCGAAAGTCGATTTATCAATTTAGCAATGATTTTTTTTTTTACCGTATTGGTTATTTTAGGTTTTGGCTCTTCTCGCCTCTTCTGCGAATTCGCTTCTGCTTCTTGCTAGCCAGCTGGCTGTTGTTTTTAATCTTGAGACACGTTTTGAAGCTTTGTCTCTTTGCTTTGCTGATGGCTTCTTGATTGTCTCGCACTTCTTTCGCAGCCCCCCTCCGTGCCTCTCTATTCCTCTGTCCGTCTGTTTATAGTTCTCTGTTCTGTTCCGCTAACAAATGCATTCCGGTTGCAATTTTCTGCCTTATAAGCGTTACACACACACACACACACACACACACACACACACACTCAGGCGAACGCACACGCACACATGTGAGGCGGTTCTGTGCAGGCATTCGTTTGCAGTACTCAGAAACCACTCGCATTTATAAATAAAAGAATTTAATACTCGACATGGACTTAATGAGCTCTTAGCTGGCTCCACTTGCAGTTTTTTTTTCTACCTGTACTTCTAACTCAACCGCCTCCTGTTTCGCTGCTTCGTCGCGTTGTTGTTGCTGTGTCTCAAATGTTTATAAAAAAAAAGAAGCAATTTTAATTAAAGAATTTCACTCGCTGAGGTTGTTTCTGCCTTAGAAGAAGAAGCGGCTTGTCGTTAAGGTACTTTAAGCATGTACGTTCGTTCTTCATGCACATTGAAAATTTGTCTAATATTTGTTGCTTTTTAGGTTAGTTTTTAATGTTTGTTGGAATTAGTTCCTGTAAGGGTATACACTCGTCGCATTGCGCTGCTCTGCTACATTTATGCATTTCTTATTAAATTTTGAATTTATTGATATATTTTGTCTGCTCGTAAGCGTATTCAGTCGTCGCATTTCTTGATTTTCTCTCTTTTAATTTCTGTCCCTTTTATTCGTTATTGTTGCCTGCACGCTACCTTTTTCTTCGCAACAACTTCCTTTTGCGCGCAATACGAAATACTAAACAAATTTATTGCAATTATGCCAGGACAGCAGCCGCAGCAGCAGCCGCAGCAGCAGCCGCAGGAGCAAAGCGAACATAAAACACAGACTTAAATTTGTAGACGGTGTGTGTGTGAGCTTTTGTTTTGTTGCTATCGTTGTTACTCCACTTTTTAGCACGTTCGCCTTATGTATATGTATGCGTGTGTGTGTGTGTGACACAGCCAGGGCCCCAGTCAGCATCAGCAGCGAACATTTGCCATCTTTTCAACACTATGCTACGCTCTCGCTCTCACTCCAGCTCTCTCTGTAGCTGCCGCTGCCGCTGCCGCTGCGTTTACTCTCATTGTTGTTGATG